GTTGTGTTGTTAAGTGCTGTTGAATTGGTTCCAACCCATAGCGACCCTGTATAGAGTTTCCAAGGAGCAGCTGGTGAACTTGAACCGCCAACTTTGCAGTTCAAACTGACTTTACAGTCCAGACCAGGACTCTATAGAGGTCACTATTTTGGAGTTTCATGTGAATGGAATCAGATAATATGTGAACTTTTGTGACTAGCTTCTCTGTGGATATTCTTTTTTTTTTTTTTATTATTGTAAAAAAATAAAACAAAACATTTGTCAATTTATATTGTTCAACCATCACAATTAACCTCTCTTACTTTTTTTACTCTTTTATTGATATCTGTTATTTATCATTGTACCTAAGAATGAGTATTTCAGAAGACTTAATTGTGTTCAAGAGGCAGTTGTTCAAACAGAACAAGGGCATACTGAATGGCTTAACATCAGGGTTGTAACCTTTCACCATACTAATTAACTTTGTATGCTGAGAAAATTATCTGAGAAACTGGATTATATGAAGAAGAATGTGGCATCAGGACTGGAAGAAGACTCGTTAACAACCTGCAATATGCAAATGACACAGCCTTGCTTGCTGGGAGTGAAGAGGACTTAAAATACTTAGAGCACAGCCTTCAATATGGATTGAACTTCGATGTAAAGAAATAAAAAATCCTCATAACTAGATGGATAAATAACATAGTGATAAATCTAGAAAAAACTGAAGTTGTCAAAGACTTCATTTTGCTTGGATCCACAACCTACACTCACTAAACCATATGATGAACTGCATTAGGCAAATCTGCTGCATAAGACCTTTTTATAGTGTTAAAGAACAAAGATGTTAGTTTGAGGACTAAGGTGTGCCTGACCCAAGCCATTGTAATTTCAGTCGCCTCATATGCATGTGGAAGTTGGACAACGAATAAGGAAGACCATAGAAGAATTGATTAATCCACTTTGTAATTCACTTCATAAATCCTTCTCTATTCCTAGATTATGATGATATTCTCCTATATTACCTTCAAACAAATTCTCAAACAAAGAATCCAGTAGCACCACTCACAAAACACACACACACATAAAAGAGACAGCAATCAATCCATACCTATTAATAATTACACCGAGTGGATTAAGTGTACCAGTCAAGAGACATAGAGATCAGAATGGAAAAGAAAACAGGATCCTTCAATATGCTGTCTCTAAGAGACATATCAAAAAGATGGAGATAGCCTAAATGCCCATCAACAGAAGAGTAGTTAAACAAACCTTGGTATATACACACAATGAAATACTACAAAATGTTGAAGAATAATGATCTGTGAAATACCTCATAACATGGTTGAACCTGGAAGACACTATGCTGAGTGAAATCCGTCTATCACAAAAGGACATATATTATTTGAGACCAGTACTGAAGTTCAGAAAAGGTTTTCTTGATAGAAGAAACCATTTATGATGGTTATCGAGGGAGAGGTGAGAGAAATTTATTTACAGACTAGAAGGCAGACACATGTTAACACAGGTGAAAGTGAAAAATGAAGGTAGCGGGAGGCACAGGGAGGAATGCAATGTTAACATGAATAGAGGTAAATACTGATAACTTTTGGTACATGGAAAGGATTGTAATCACTGTAATGAAGTCAAGTATATGATTTGTTGAATGTTAAAAAAGAATTATCTTAAAAAAGTGTTTTTTATTTATTTTTATAGCTATTACACTAAACAACATCCATATAAATGGAGAAAAGACTGAAGTTGTCAAAGATTTCAATTTGTTCAGATCAACCATCAACACTCATGGTCACAGCACAAGAAATCTGCTGCACAAGATCTCTTTAATGTATTTAAGAGCAAAAATGTCAGTTTGAGGGCTAAGGTGTACCTGATCCAAGCCATGGTGTTTTCAGTAACCTCATATGCATTTGGAAGTTGGACAGTGAATAAGGGAAGACTGTAGAAGCATTAATGCATCTGAGATGGAGGAGAATATTAAAAGTACCATGGACTGCCAGAAGAACAAACCAATCTGTGTTGGAAAAAGTACAGCCAGAGTGTTCCTTCAAAGCCAGGATGGCCAGACTTCATCTCTCATACTTCGGACATATTATCAGGAGGGACCAGTCCCTGGAGAAGGATATCATGTTTGGTAAAGTGGAAGGTCGGAGAAAAGGAGGGAGATCCACAATGAGATGGGCTGGCACCATGGTTGCAGCGATGGGCTCAGGCATAACAGTAATTGTGAGGTTGGTCCAGGACTGGGCAGTGTTTCGTTCTATTGTGAATAGGGTCGCTAGGAGTCGGTACCTACTCGATGGCACCACCACCACCAACAGCACATTTAATTTGCATATGATGTTTCCAGCAAACTTCCTAAACTCTTATAATTTTAATTATTTATATATTCTTTTTTTTTTTTTTAATATACTCAACAATATCATTTACAGAGAATGATATTTTTTCTTCCTTTCTGGTTCTCTGCTTTGTCTTGACTTACTTTGTACTGGTTAGAGCTGATTTGAAGTGAATGATAGTAGGCACACAATCTCTTAGGGAAAGCTTTTCACTCCTATTTATTAAAAATGGTGTAGGGACAGCTTCTATCTCTTTTGACTTCACAAGGGAGAAAGGGGAGAACCATCAGCATCAGCCATTCCTATGAGGCATTCAGATGTCCCTCACCAACTCATGGACACCAACCATCCCTCCCACAGCACCCTACGTCTCAGCTGAGTTTGATCATTCATGGCAATGGCCACACACAACGTGCAGTCCATACTCAGGATTCTGAAGTTTTACTATTAAATATGATATTTGCTTTAGTTTTCCTTTTCTTTTCATATGCGTATGGTATGAGATAGGAGTATAATTCCTTTTTTCCTCACACAGATACACAACTGTTCCAACATCATTTCCTGAAAGGTGTGGTTCAAGTCCCACCCAACAACTTTTTACTGCTGGGTCTGGTTAAGAGAAGGTGGGGGAAGAACACGCTGACAGGATTATATGATTCCGTTGTGAGTGACTATTAACAGGGTTACTTGTGATTGTAAAAACTTGGATATCTAATAAGGGGATTGTCAATTTTGCCATCCCGCTGGGCTGAAAATGAACCATCTCAGAAGCAGAAGAGGGATCTCACTACCATCAAGGAAGAACAGCCAGGAGTGGACTGCATCATCTGGATCCCAAGACCCCTAGAGGCACACTGAGCCTCCTAGATCCACGGACAAAAAGTGTGGCACAAGAGAAGTGGGAGAGGAGCAGCCTCAGCAGAGCCACCAGCCAGAGCAGGAGACCAAGCTGCGGGCTTCCCAACTCAAAGAGCAAAGCAAGCCTTCAGGTGAAGGGCTTGCGTGTAAAATAGGGTGCCTCTAGGCCCTCAATGCTGGGAGCTAGGTTTGCTGACCCTCTGAGCTGGGGCTGAGGCTTGGTGGAGTTGCATACTCTTTGGGCATTTACCAACAGTGCTAAAAGAGCTTTTTGTTATTGTCTGAGCAGGGCAGAGGTTAGGAGGCTGCTAGGCTGAGGGACTGAGAATGAAAGCAAGGTGTGCCCGCAGATTTCCATTCGGGGGCAAAGGGGCTGTCCTGACCAAAGAATTATATCCTGAACACTTCTGATCCTGAATTGTAACCTGTTAACTTCCTTCAAAAACTCCAGAATCCTGAGTATGGACTCCAAGTTCTGTGTGGCTACTGCAATGAATGATCAAGCCCAGCTGAGAAGTAGAGTGCTGTGGGAGGGATGGTTGGTGTCAGAATTGGTACGTCTGAATGCCTCATAGCAACTAGCCAAAGGCCAATGCCTATGCTCACCCTCCTCCCCTGTGAAGTCAGAGGTGACCAGAAGTCGTGCCTCCACTATTTTTCAACAATGAGAATCCACTTCCCACTGATCTTCAACTTTCTTTGGGTTCACTGTGTATTTTTTCTAATTTCTTGAGAAGGATGCTTAATTAATATAGTTATCCTTCTAACTACTAGATTAAGGAGCTCTGGTAGCATAATGGTTATGAATTGGGCTGCGAACCGCAAGGGCAGCAGTTTGAAACTACCAGCTGTTCTGTGCGAGAAAGATGAGGCTTTCTGCTCCTGTAAAGATTAACAGTCTCGGAAACCCTGTACAGGGTCGCTATGAGTCGGAACCAACTCCATGGCACATCACACACACACACACTAACTACTAGATTATCTTCATCACAGTTTTGATCATGATGTTTTTGTTAAGTGCTATTGACTTATTCTGACTCATAGAGACACTACGCACAGCAGAACAAAACACTGCTCAGTCCTACACCATTCTCACAATTGTTATGTTTGAGCCCACTGTTGCTGTCACTGTGTCAGTCCTCGTTGGGAGTCTTCCTCTTTTTCACTGGTCCTCCATTTTATCAAGCATGATGTCCTTCTCCTGGGGTGGGTCCCTCCTGATAATATGTCTGAGGGATGAGAGACAGTCTCGCCATCCTTGGAATTTCACATGCATATGAGGCAACTGAAAATACCATGGCTGAGGTCAAGCCCACTTTAGTCCTTCAAATGATTTATCTTTTGCAGCAGATATGCCCAATGCAGTATGTTGTTTGATCTCCTGATTTTGTGATATGAGTCAAATGAAATCCTTTTCATTTGAAAATCCTTGTCAAATGAAATCCTTGTCTGCAATATATTTATACCAGCTTTGTTGTTAAAAAAAAAAAAATCATAGTATTCTTATAGATACATCTTGTAGCACGTAGCACGTGAGCAAGCACAGCAATAGATTAAATTCCTTGACATGAAGTAGCTGGGTAAAAGGTTATGTGCAACTCAAGTTTCATCAACAATGACAGTGTGTTCTCCAAAAAGGCTGCGACAATCACAATTCCACCAACAGTGTGTCAGAACGTCCACACAGGCATGTTACAATCAGAGCTTCTCTTGCCCTACTATTGGGGTGCTTGGATCCTCTGGATTAAAATGTGGCCACGTGGTGACCAGCCCATCTGGAAAGAAGGATTACTGAGGAAAATTTACCTTGCTGATCTCTGTCAGGGACATGGTGATGCTATAGAGTTGGTTCTTACTGGTGCTGGCAATCAGGGTTTCTTCTGAGGGGCTGAAGCATAAGCAGAGAACTTCCTGCTTGTCAGACTGACCCAGGTCATTGCTCTGCGGGTCCACAGGAACCTGCCCCAAACACAAAGCACCAATCAGTTATGTCCCCACACAGTCAGTGTGCCCTTGGGCTTTTAGAATTCTCGGAGATACTCTCAGTTTAGAGATTCCTAGACCAGGATGGGGCACTGTAGGATCACCACTGGATTTCAACAGTTCAAATCCACCAGGTGTTCCTCAGAAACCCTACACAGGCTGGAACCGACTTGATGGCCTCTATCTCCTGAGTTGTGGAGAAGGGTTTGAGTCCCCTCTAGTTCTCTGAGTTTTAAATATCACCATGTATTCACCTTTAGGGAGTCCTGGTGTGGCACTGTGGGTTAATGTGGCATACTGCAAAGCCATCTGAACTGCAAGGTCAGCGGCTCAAGTTCACCAGCTGCTCCTTGGAAGCCCTAAACAGGGTTGCTGTGGGTCAGAATCGACTTGACGGCACTTAACAACAACACTCACCATTAAGTGATAGTTGTTGTTGCTGTTGTTAAATACTGTCTAGTCAGTCCCTCATAGTGACCTTGTATAGGGCTTCCAACTGCCGACCATGCGGTTAGCAGTCCTTCTGTGGTACTCCTTTAAGTGACTGTTGTTTTATGTGTCTCTGTGTTGGTTCCAACACAGTGATCCTGTGTAGGGTTTCTGAGGAGAAGATGATGGGCTCGAACTGCTGACAGACCTTTTGTTTTGCAGGTTAAGTGCTTTAACCGTTGTGCCATCCGGGCTCACTATTTACATATAATACTTAGTATTATGTCTGGCACATAATTGCGGCTTTGTTATTTTTAGTACTATTATTGCGCTGGACTGCAAGGTAAATTAGAACTGCATGTTGGTGGTTCAAGCTCACCAAGTGCTCTTTGGAAACCCTATACAAGGTTGCTATGAGTCAGAACCAACTTGACAGCACTTAACAACAACAACAACGTTTTATTGACACCCTCCTATTGGGTAAAAATGGAGAGATAAATATACAGAGAAAGAAAAAGAGGACAGAGGACAGAAGTTTGCAATTCCTAATTTAGAGACTGAGATGGAAAGAAAATCCAGCAGTGGACACTGAGGGATAATGGTCATTTATTCACTCACTCATTCATTCATTAATCCATTCAACAAATGTCTACTGTGCACCCACCTTGGGACAGGCTACAAGCTGGGTGGCTGAAATAGGTGAATCAGACCTGGCCCCTCTCCTTCAGAGATGGTGTCTCTGGAGCAGAACAACAGGTCAGCATCCATCCATTCGTCAGAACCCACCAGTCGACCGCAGGAGAAAGATAAGGCAGTCTGCTCCCATAAAGACTTACAGGCTTAGAAACCCTATGGGGCAGTTCTACTCTGTCCTAGAGAGTCTCTGTGAGTAGGAATCAACTTGACAAGAGTGGGGTTGGTTTTGCATTTTATATTTAAATATATACCTACATAAATATAAATGCTTATATAAAAACCCACTGCCATCAAGTTGATTTGGACTCATAGCGACCCCATACGACAAACTACCCCAAGAGGTTCTCAAGTCTGCAAATCTTTAAGGAAGCAGACTGACACATCTTTCCTTCAGAGCCACAGGTGACCTTTGGTTACCAAAGCCCAGTACTTAATCCACCGCACCACCCCAAACCTACTGTCACAGAGTTGATTCCGACTCACAATGACCTAGTGCAGGATTTCTGAGGCTGTAAATCTTTATAAGAGCAGAAAGTCTTATCTTTCTTCTGAGTTGCAGATGGTGGAATTGAACTGCTGACCTTGTAATTAGCTGTCCAGGGTTATCAGGACTCTGTAAATACACATGTACACACACACGCACACACACACACACAGATGCATATGTTGTTGCTGTTCGGTGCTGTACAGTTGGTCCTGACTCAAAGTGACCCTATGCACAACAGAGGGAAACAATACTGGGTCCCACGCCGTCCTCACAACTGTTGTTATGCCTCACCCATTGCTGCTGCCACTGTGTCAATCCGTCTTGATGGCGGGGTCTTCTTCTTTTTCACTCACTCTCCATTTTACCAAGCATAATGTCCTTCTCCAGGGATTGATCAATCCTGATAATATGTTTGAAGTAAGAGAGACAAAGTCTCACCATCCTGGCTTCTAAGAAGCATTCTCAATGTACATTTTCCAACACAGATTTGTTTGCTCTTCTAGAAATCCATGGAACTTTCATTTTCTTCTCTAACATCATAATTCAAATGCTTCAATTCTTCTACAGTTTTTCTCATTAATTGCCCAACTTTCACATGCATATAAGACTACTGAAAATACCATGGCTTGGGTCAGACTCATCTTAATCCTCAAACTGGTACCTTTGTTCTTGAGCACTCTATAAAGGTCTTGTGCAGCAGATTTGCCTCAAGCAATACGTCATTTGATTTCTTGACTGTTGCTTCCCTGAGTGTTGATTGAAGATCCCTAAAAAATGAACTATTTGACAACTTCAATCTTTTCTCAATTTATCATGATGTTATTTATTGGTCCAATTGTGAAGATTTATTATTTTCTTTACATTGGAGGTACAATTCATACTGAATGTTGTGGTCTTTGATCTTCATCAGTGACCATTTTAAGTCCTCTTCACTTTTACAAGCAAGGTTGTATCACCTGCATATCACAGGTTGTTAATGAGTCTTCCTTCAATCCTGATGTCATGCTTGTCTTCATATAATTCAGTTTCTTGGATTATTTGCTTAGCATACATACTGAGTAAGTAGGGTGAAAACATACAGCCCTGGTAAGCATCTTTCCTGATTTTAAATCATTCAGTATTCCCTTGTTCTGTTTGTACAATTGCCTCTTGATCTATGTACAGGTTCCTCATGAGCACAATCAAGTGTTCTGGAATATCCATTCTTTGCAATGTTATTAATAGCTTGTCATAATCCTTTGAAAGTCTTTACATAGTCAATAAAGCACATGTAAACATCTTTCTGGTATTCTCTGTTTTTCAGCCAAGATCCTTCGGACATCAGCAATGATATATCTTTAGTTCAATGTCATCTTCTGAATCTCACTTGAGTTTCTGGCAGTTATATGACAATGTACTGTTGCAGCCATTTTTGAGTTATCTTCAACAAAATTTTACTTGCATGTAATATTAATGATATTGTTCAATGATTTCCGTATCTCTGTTAGGTCACCTCTCTCTGAAATGGGCACAAACATGGATCTCTTCCAAGCAGTTGGTCAGCTGTCTTCCAATTTCCTTGGCACAGATGAGTGAGTACCTCCAGTGCTGCATCAGTTTGTTAAAATATTTCAATTTGTATGCCATCAATTTTTGGAGCCCCTTTTTTTTTTGGCAATACCTTCAGTGCAACTTGAGCTTCTTCCTTCAGTAACATCCATTCTAGATCGTATACTACTTCTTGAAGTTGTTGAACACTAATCATTTCTTTTTGGTACAGTGCCTCTGTGTATACCTTCCATCTTTATTTTTTATGCTTTCTACATCATTCAATATTTGGTCCATGGAGTTCTTCACTATTGCAAGTCAAGGCTTGAATTTCTTTTCCAGTTCTTTCAGTTTGAGAAATGCTGAGTATGTTCTTCCCTTTTGGTTTTCTACCTCAAGATCTTTGCATATTTTATTATAATATTTGACTCTGTAATCTTCTGTTCAGTTCTTGTACCTCCTCATTTCTCCCATTTGCTTTAGCACCTCTATTCTGGAGAGCAAGTTTCAGAGTCTCTTCTGACATCCATTTGTGTGTGTGTGTGTGTCTTCTTAATGACCTTTCGCTTCCTTTCTGTATGATGTTCTTGATGTTATCCCACTGGTCTTCTGGTCTTGGGTCTTTAGTGTCTAATGCATCAAATCTGTTCTTGAGATGGTCTCTAAATTCAGGTGGGATATAGTCAAGATCATATTTTGGCTCTCATGGACTTGTTTCAATTTTCTTCAGCTTGAGTCTGCACTTGCATATGAGCAGTTGATGGGCTGTTTCACAGTCTGTCCCGGCCTTGTGTTAGCTGATGATATTGAGCTTTTCCACTGTCTTTCCACACATTACTGTGTATTCCATATATGTAATTAACTTTTATATGGTTTGAAACGATATTTGCAATGAATAAGGCATTGGTCTTGCAAAATTCTATTATGCTGTCTCCAACATCATTTCTATCATGAAGGCCATATTTCTCAACTACTAAGCATTCCTCTTTGTTTCCAATCTTTGCATTCCAATCACCAGTAGCTATCAATACATCTTGATTGCATGTTTGATTAATTTCAGACAGAAGAAGTTGGTTGTTGCTGTTAAGTGCTGTTGATTCAATTCAGACTCATACTCACCCTCTACAGAGTTTCTGAAGAGCAGCTGGTGAGTATGAATTGACAACCTTGCGGTTCAAACAGACTTTGAGGTCCAGTGCTTATCTTACAGTGCCTCGCCAGGAAGATGTTGGAAGAATTCTTCAATTTCATTATCACTGGTTTTAGTGATTGGTATGTAAATACGAATTGTTGTTGTTACGTGCATTGGAGTCAGTACCTACTCATAGTGACTGTATGCACAATAGAACGAAACGTTGCCTGGTCCTGAGCCAACCTCACAATTGCTGCCTCCACTGTGCCAATCCATCTTGTTGGGGGTCTACTTCTTTTTCTCTGACCCTTTACTTCATCAAACATGATATCCTTCTCCAGGGACTTGTCCCTCCTGATAATATGTTCAAAATATGAGAGACGAAGTTTGGCCATCCTGGCTTCCAAGGAACACTCTGGCTGCTCCTTAGAAGGACTGGTTTGTTCTTTTAGCAGTCCATGGTACTTTTAATATTTTCCTTCAACTCAAATGAATCAATTCTTCTACAGTCTTCCTTATTTTTTGTCCAATTTTCTCATGCATATGAAGTTATTGAAAACACCATGGCTTGGATCAGGTGCACCTTAGTCTTCAAACTGACATCTTTGCTCTTGAACACTTTGAAGAGGTCTTGTGCAGCAGATATGCCTAAAATAATATGTCGTCTAATTTCTTGACTGTTGCTTCCATGAATGTTGATGGTTG